ACAGTGACACAAACAGCAACAGATAAAGGGAAGCTGACAGTATGTTATGAGCCTGGATGCAAACTACCAATCTTGGCGTGTGTGTTTGTGTGTGTGTGTTTGTGCGTGTGTGTGAAGGGGATAGAGAAGAAAGCAGAAAGATATGACTTGCTTAAACTGTGTCATGGCAGAAATTGCTTGCATTAGTATCTCTGCTTTACTGTCTCTGTTATAAAATACCACTGAAACCTGTTTAATCCAAATGTCAAAAGGACACCTTATCTACACAGCCAGACTCACTATGCATGTATGTGTGTGTGTGTGTGCCTGTGCTCATATAAGAAAATCATTATTGTGCAGCTGTGGCAAGAACAGGGTTGTGACTGTCTGCTTTTACATGGCTGCACAAACATGTTCCTAGGCCATATCGAGGACTGCGTGCCTGCATGTCTACATGACTGTGTTACCTGTGATAATGGCGGGAACGCCCCAGCCAATGGCGTAATAGAATCTCATGGCTCCATAGTTGATGTTGCGTTGTTCTGTTTGCATTCGGTAGATATGAAGACCTTCCACGAACATCCAGGCGAACGTGGACATGAAGAAGTAATGCAACAGGATGGCGACGACCGTACACAGGAACTGAGGGGAGAGGTTTTTTTTTTTAAAAAAGAGTGATTAAAAAAAGGAAAAGGGGAGGAGCAGGAAATTATAGGTAGCAGAAGGAAAGTGACAAAAAACGATTAAGAGGCGAGAGAGAGAGGAATGAAAGGGGTAGGCTAAGGGGGAAAGGCAGGAAAGATGCGTTAGCAGTGAAAAGACAAAAAAAAACATCATCCTTTCAAGGATTGTGCGACAGCTGAAATACAGATGTCTTGGCAACCAACCAACGAGTCTTTATTACAGCAAAGCAGGTGTCAGCAATGAAATAACAGCCGTTCATGATTAAATTACTAATGCATCTAATGAACAGCGATAACGGCAGCATGTTACAATTCGTCCAGGAAAAGCATATAAAATAAAGAATGTAAATGGATGTTGTAAGAGCTGAATTTTACCAATAACACCCAAGAGAGTCTTTTAATTATGATTACGATTACGAAAATTTGCACCATCTGCAGAGGAATGTAAATAATGCCCAAACAGGTAATGTTGCCTTTATATTAATTGTGATTGTAGAAGTTTAACAGCTATTTTTAAACATGATGTATTTACGACAATAAAAGCATCAAGAAAACAAAAATAATGCAAATTCATTGTTTAGAGGGAATAATTAGCTCGACCGAAATAAATACACCTTGCATTTTTGAGCAATAACGGAGAGATATAAATCGAGGTGTGAGGCAACTATGCTTGGGTTCAAGCTATGACCTTACTTCCAATTCACAGTCACAGTAAGCGTCCTGTGAGGATCTACTGGTATGTCTGGATGTGTTTTATGAAAGCTGATGGTGACAACAGAGGGAATTGATTATTTGTTCAAAAACAAACCTTTTGATTGGCTGCCAATAATCAACAGTGATAGACAGATGGCAAATCCAAATAGCTGCCAAGTGCGTGCCTACCCTTTTCCAAACAGTTTCCAAAGACGACTTTTCAGATGGTTCCGTTAAACAAACCATCTGGTGTGTCAGGTGATGGTTAATCTATGCCTCATTTTCACATAGAAAACGTTGCTTTACTGACAATAACTTGGACACTGTATAAATAAAAGGATGACGTAATCTGCCACAGGACTCATTTCTGAGGTCATTCGTCTAGATTGCATATCATCAGGAATGAATCCCAGTAAAGGCAGGAGATAAACTTCAAAGCCATCTTTAGTTAGATGCTGCTGGTTGGTTTGGCAGCGATACTTGGCTTCCCCATGAATAATGCAGAGCATTAACATTTTGGCTTTCTGTGAAATTACCTTCAGGCTGCATTCAAGAATGGCTCAAGTGGTTTATTTGAACTCTGCAGCCTTTTAGTCTGAATTGATTTGTTTGACCAGATGAGGACGATGCCATTCAAACTCAAGTGGCACTGAATTACAGCACTTTGAAAAAGCAAGTCAACTTCGTCTAAGAGAACTGCAGTGGTGTTTGTTTAAAATCTAAACCAGCCTCAGGAAACAGCTTGAAAATGCACAACTAAATAAGATGTCTGTGG